AACAAAAAAAAAAAAAAAAAAAAAATCTGCACATTAAATGATGTATTAAAAAAAATCATTAAAATATGAGTGAAAGCATTTGACTCATTTGTGCTGATTTTTTTTTTTTTGTGATTTTTTCTTCTTATTAGGTTTAATATCTTTAAGATCATTTAATGCGTTGATCTTTGCTATTATTGTCATTTAATGCGTTTGATCTTTGCTAAAAAAAATAATAGTCATTTGAAAACACACACCCCATTTGAAATTTGAAAATTGAAAAAAGAAAAATAATTATTTTTAAAAAAAGTTTTATTTATCCACAATTTATAATTATTCAGATACAGATAAAATATAATTAAAAGTTCACAAATCTATAATTATTTACAAAAAGAATCAATCAAGAACGAGGGACGAGAACGATAACATTGTCACAAAACTCTAAAATATCACATTCGTTGAGAATTAATTAAACTAACAAAAAAAAAATATATAAGAATAGATTATGAAATTAAAAAAATAATAAAATGATTAGTTTATAAACAATAAATACATTTAATTACTAGCTCAATTTTGTAATAAAATTTTTAAATAATTTTCTATCTTCCAATTTTGTGTCTCTTAGATATTATTTTCTAAAATAATAAGAATTCTCTCACTCCTATCCATATTGATCCAAGAGATATAGTAAACACTCAACGAGTCAAAATATTTTAGACAACTCAGTATATAAACCTATCATAAATCATATTATGCTAAAAATAATAAAATAATATAAAAGAAATTAAAATTTTAGATCGCTATAAAAGATTAAAAAAAAAAACTATAATCCAAAAAATTAGAACTACCCTAACGACATAGCATAGCGATCTAAACATGGATACCTAGTCATGAAATCTCAGTTCATAAAACAATGCGTACTCGTGTTAGTAATTATATATAATCACATCCAACATGTGTTACTTCAACTCATTCTATGCTCAAACATATATAATCGGGTTCCTATACTATGCTTATATCATACTAAAGGCATAGTATAAATTACATTCATATGATAACTTAATAGTTCATTCTCAATAAACGCGCTCCATGAAATCTAACATGCTTTTACGTATCTCAAACTAACTCATTCAAGCTGAAATTCCTAAAACATGCTTCTCATAAATTCCTAAAACATGTTTCTCATATCATACTTTCATACGTACTACAAGCGTAGATAAATATAAAGTTCTGAGGTGCCACTTACCTCTGTCGTCATGGAATTTGTACCCGATGAAGTCATAGATGTCATCTTCTACACATTTGAGAGTTCTTGAAAAGAAACGCATACAAAACCCTTACCCACACACCACCTTGAAGGGTCTGGACAGATTTGCAATAAAAGAAAAAGAAAAAGGGGTATGAATACCTCAGGTAAGGATTATTGCAATTTTTAGGAGGAATAGCTGCCAAAAATCTGGAAAAACAAATCGAGAATCGTCCAACTTTGATAAGAAACTGAATCTTTTCTAATTTATTAAGTTCTGTGAGTTTCAAAAAAATGCAAAAAAAAATATATCTCAAGAGGTGGACTTGAGATCTTGAATTCTCGTGATCGAATTCATTCTAGTTACGGATTGAAAGATAGAAAAATTCAAAACAAATAGATTGGTATGGAATTTGACTGGAATCTGGATATAGGATGAACTCAGACCATCGGCGACGAACACGCGGCGGCCGGAAGGAGGGAGACGCGTCCGGCAACAAGAGGGACACGCGTTCGGCAACACGCGTCAAGCATACTGGGGAGAGACGCGTCCAATGCCTGTGCTGACACGCGTACGACCGCGCCCCGGAAACCCAAACCAGAAACCGACCGCGGTCCAACCCGAAACCTACTGCCAGTCCCTGCACGCCACGTGTCATATCCCGAAAAATAGAAGAGTAAATCTGCGTTCACCGGCGTTCGAAGCGTGCCTCTCAATTCTATTTAATACACGGATTTTTTTATATTATTGGCTGATATTCTTTTTCCTTTTCGTCCTTCATCAGTGTAAAAATCACGAAGATAATCCAAATTATCTCTAACCTCGAAATTCAAATTCCCCACATGGGTTACTCTTTTTTCTTTTTTGGGGTTCAAGGGCTTTTTTGTAATTTCAATTGCAAGTTTCCCAAAGAGAAAATAAAAAAATAATTTGTGTATTTATGCTTATTTATTAATAGTAGTAAATATTAACCTGATAATACAAGATTTTTTAACATGTTTTGTTATCGTTTACTTTAGAGCTATTATGATTGAGTCGCTAAAAAAATAATCTTGTTTGGTATAGGCTATATCTATTAATTTTTTTTGTTAACGTTTTTCTTCATTATAATATTATATTTTCAAGATAACTCTTATTTAAAAGTAATGTCAAGAGTTTTTATGGATTGAAAATCAATTTAATATGATAATTAATAAATAATAATAACAATAATTATTAACTTCCTAACCAACGCTTATATTTAAAGAAGTTGAAAAAATCAAATTAATTGATTCTTATATTGTATTAATATTAATTTTTAAATTATTCATATCAATATTCTATTTTATGGAATGATAATGGCCGTTGAAACCATCTGATCCTCCTCGAAATGGATTGCAAAATCGGCAAAAAAAAAAAAAAAAAAAAAAAAAAAAAAAAAAAAAAAAAAAAAAAAAAAAAAAAAAAAAAAA